AATTACCTGTGAGAACTGAGTTTAGAATAGTTAAACTGGATTGTGGATAATCAAGACCTGGTTGTCTCTAGTAAGTTGTTAACCTGAAACATGAATGTATCTAAACTCAGTTCTCACAGGTAATAAAACAGTTAAACTGGATTGTGGATAATCAAGACCTGGTTGTCTCTAGTAAGTTGTTAACCTGAAACATGACTGTATCTAAACTCAGTTCTCACAGGTAATAAAAAACAGTTAAACTGGATTGTGGATAATCAAGACCTGGTTGTCTCTAGTAAGTTGTTAACCTGAAACATGACTGTGTGATTGTAGTGTTCCTTTTGTTTATTCACAAAAAGCCAATTTCAACTTCTCAACCAACCTAACCACTGTATCATTATTGTTCTTCTCTTAGGTATTAAAACTGGGTTTATATCTAAAGCAGATAAGATAGATGAAGGGTATTAGACTACCACTTTTCTTCATGTCTTGGGGGTCATGTGACTGAGCAAAGTTCATTTAAACGTGCACATTGAAATTCCAACTTTGCTTTTTTATTTTCTTCTGTGGCAAAATTTCAACTACATTTTTGTACAAGTCAATAGGTCATTTGCTGTGCTAATGGCAAGAAACTATTCACATAAGCTAATCAAATGGCTGAGACACTACATGCTTGTCTGTGTTCTTCCAACTCAGCCTGCATAATATAAGCATAAGTTAATCAGCACAGTCAATCTGATCTCGCTACTGAAAGTATGTCAATACCAATTACATGCACCAGTTATTATTAATAGTTTGTATTTAAAAAAAAAAGCCAACTGTATATTGTATTGATAGACATAATTGGATTATGGAAGGCTGTTCATGATGATTGTCGAAGGTGTTGTGTCTTTTAAGCACACAAATTGCTGTATTTTTGATTGGATTGTTTGTCACGAGAGGTAATTGTTAATTATGCAAGGTATATACCATAAACTGGTATCATTTTAAATTGCCTTTACATATTAATTTACAGATATAATAGTATTGTTGCGTCAGCGAGTCACATGACTAGTGTGATGCCACGTTTCTAGAACTATCCCGTACCTTGGCGAATGCTCTAGTATTTACTAGATATAGGGTAGTCTGATATATAAAAGAGGGTGACAATGTGACTGGAGAAGAATGATAATGTGTGTGTAGATAGTGAGTAATTGAACTGCAGT